GCAAAATTCGGTAGACGTCGAAGGTAATAAGAACACAAACCCAAGAAATGTTTTATCTGTGTAACGTTGCATGGTTTCGGACGGTCGAGAATGGCTCTGGTGTTCTGCACATTAGGCTTAATACCCGAAATAGAAATAACGTGTCCAGTAAACTCCGTCTACATTCAAGCGAATTGGCATTTGCTGATATTAGTTCATTCAGTTTATGCACCACTTTATGTAGGTTTTCCTGATGTTTGGTGAGGTTACTACCAAAGACACAAATATCATTCATATACACAACACATCCCTTGGGATCTGATAACGATGGAGTAATAAATTTCTGCCAAGCTGCTGGGGCACTACTAAGGCCCATTGGTAGCACTTTGTATTGATACAAACCGTCTTGTGTGAGGAAAGCAGTCAAATGTCGGCAATCTGGACTCAGTGGCCTGTGATAGTATGCACTGCGAATATCTAGCTTTGAGAAAAGTTTGCCGTTCGAAAGCTTAACCATCAAGTCGTCGACAGGAGGCAGAGGGAATTTGTCCAATTACATGTCGAGTAGACGCTCGAAGAGCCACTATTCTTTTGAATGGCTACTAATGGATGAATCCATTCAGAACTCTGTATGTGTTCTATCAAGTCTTCCGCGACCATATTTTTCAAAGCTTGCGACAAAGCGTCTCTCTCGTCCAGAGGTACAGGCTTAGGTTGTGAAATGTTGAACGGTTTGTAATCCGCGCTCCATCGAATGCGGTGCATTGATTTTGGGATTCTAACAATATGCGGAAGAAATAGGTTTGGGTAACTGGACCGTAAGGACTGAAGATTGATGATGCCAATAGTAATCTGGCTGACGCACCATGATAGGTTCAATAAAGTCATGGCGTTGCATCCCATTAGAGGCTTACTATCAGTTTTAGAGAAGTAAACCAACTATACGCTTTCTACTAAGAAACATCGAAACCGTAACCAAACCGAGTATGTGGACATCACCATTGGGGTAGCTGCTGAAAGTGTAAGCGAAAGGACGTACAGTTAGCTGACCAAAATGCTTTTGTAAAAGCAATATGACACACCTGTGACTGGTGACGCAGAATCTAGCTCCATGTCTAGACAAATGGTTTTGTTTCCAACTTCAAAAAACACGAAACGAATATCTGGCGAAGGTAGTTTGGGTTCTTGAGTTGGAGACGAAAGTGGATGTTCGCATTCATTAACGCCATATATGGATTGTTCAGCGTTGAGCGGAGAAGCTGTATAGTCACTGGCAGAATCAACTAAAGAAACGGAGTGGGAACGACAAACCCGAGCAAAATGACCGATCTTACCGCAATTCCGGCAGATTGCACTCATTGCAGGACATGACTTATCATTTGCAAGGTGTTCAGTATTTCCGTAGCTATAATACATATTTCTTACTGAGGACCGCATCAGAGAGCGTGTAGAATCCAAACCGTCAATTTCAGTAGCTCCTGTGTTAGAGAGGAAGATTTGCTTTTTTTCCGTGACTGCTACCTTCGCGCGAGCCACATCCAGGCCCTGTCCCATGTGAGCTTAGCTGCGTTCTCTCTCTGATCCGAAAATCCGCGAGGCCAGAAATCAATTGTTGTATTACCATAGTTTCTTCCACTGTTTTCTTGGGAATACTATTGTAGTTATACTTTGGAACAGAACAAATAACGCGGAAAATGAATGCATCCACTGATTCATCAGATGCTTGTTTCAGCTGCGAAAATTTGTACCGAGAAGTATCAATGTTCACTCGAACACCCCAATGTTTAGCTAGAGCCGATAAGGCCTCTGTCAACTTGGTTTTCTCCCGCAAGTTTATAGCATTAAGTAGGCGTCGACCCTCTGAGCTGAGGTGCAACCGCAAAAGCCTTAAGGCATCCACCGTTTTCAGCGTCACGGATGGATTGAGAACTGGTAGCACAGAAATATAATCAGAAAAACTAATTTTTCCAGTCATCCCATCATTCTGATTTGTGATAACCGCAGAGTCAGTCCAGAATGACGCAGGAGCAGTAGCATGCAAAGACCTCGGTATCACTTGACGTCAAGTTGTTGTATACCGAAAAAGCAGCAGACCAGATCAGCACCGGAACGTATGTATGAAAACAGCTGTCCGTACGTACGCGTGGTACAGTTAAATAGATAGGAGTTCGAATAGCAGTCAATGAAATGTAAGAGCACATGGCTGGGCCAACGAGTGGGGATAGCATAAGCGAATCGAGGGCAAAAACCGAGCATAGTAGTTGAACACGACAGACATCAGAGTAACGACTCATATCGGCACGGAACGAATGTACCGCAACAATCAATTGTCGAACGTGACTTGGATGTTCTTGTACAAGATGACTTGGTTTGCTTCAGGCAATCCAAAATGGCCTCGGGGACTGGAAACCAACACGTCGGGCTGTTGCGACGGGCGTTTGGACAAGTAAACAGATCCATATTTCGACAAATGCGCAGTGCGTATGTTCGTCCCCATGTCGAATACGCAATGCGCGCCTGGCATCCATGGCTGAACCACGACCTTAATGCACTAGAGCAGCCACAACGTCGGGCAGCTGAAAAGGTAATTGGAATGCACAGTTTTTCATACCAGGAGAGACCGCAACGATTAAGGGTATTCAGCGGAAACTATCGCAGACTACGAGGCAACCTGGTTATGGCATACTTCATTCTGCGAAACCCACATCATGTGCGCCGCCCTTTACTGCGATTCCGCACCAATACTTCCCTGAGGGGCCACTTATTGAAATTCGCTGTACAGTATAGCCGTCTGGAGTACCGCAGAAAGTTCTTTTTCATTCGTGTCTATCACCCGTGAAATGCTCTCAGAGAATTGGTCATCTCTGAACCGACGCTAACAGTATTTAAAAGACGGTTGGATGACGTGCTCATCCACTTACACTTTGTCACTTCGCGCTACGTCCCCAAGCTACACCTGGAGTTGACCATGGATTTAGTTAATGTTAATTGTAGGTGCTGTAAATAAAAGCGGATTTCAAGACTACAGCGGTACAATCCATAAGTCCTTATGTTAGTGTTTAAAGTACTAACTGTTTTCCTATTATTATTATTATTATTATTATTATTATTATTATTATCATGTCGATATCCCCACTAACTACCCAACGGGACTTCTAAAGCGACGCTTCTTAACCCGTATAAATTCATTCTTCGTTACAATAGAATGTAAACGTGCTGAAGATGCTGTGGTCTGATGTTCGACCAACACTATTCATGCTTCCTCATTGCTTCAACGTAGACTGGTGTTCATCCTGATTCCTTACTGTTAATGAAGTGAACATTCTCCTATTCGTGGCGAGACGCTGCAGTACCCCATGGATATCTCACCAAATCTAACTGGGAGCGAAAACCCTTAACCCGAACCATCCCCAGTCAAGTATCTCTGCATCATTTATCTTGAAACCACTCTTGATACACGCACGTTTATGAAACATTTCATAAAGTCTGGAAACTTTTACTTAATGCCATCAGACTTAGGGTGCTTTCAGTACCCCCTAATTTAAAATTCAAGTTTGTGACATGATGCACTGTCCCCCATTAGCTATACTGCTTCCCTGTCCTATTTTCAGTGACAGTTTCAGCAAAACTACATCATATTGGTACGATCCACAAAGCACATTTCTGCATGCAGTTATTAGGTCATTTTAAACACATCTTGATGTTTGCAACTACGTTTCTTCTAAGCTGCTAGATGACCGATTCCATGCTCATGACCTTGCAAAAACACTTTCACTTATAAGAATTCGAAATGCAAAATTTTAATTTCCCGCACTTCATGGTACCGTAATGCTAACATTATCTGTCACCTTTGCTCGTTGACCCATTGGAAGTTCTAAGCAAACTGAGAAATAGGGTTTTGGGTTTTCGACTGCATGCCTCTTTGCATTTAGTTACTTTTTAATAAAAATAATAATAATGTGTCAGCTGTACGCCGTAACGACGCTTCACTGCCGTGCGACCACCACCAGTCGCACGCGGGCTGAGTATACCGCGAGGACGCCCACCCCTAGGCGGATTCGAACCCGCGCCGCAAGATTACGAGACATGCTAGTTACTTCTAGGCCGACTCTACTTTTTAGTGATATTTTTCTCAGGTACAATTGCAACGATAGTACAATTACCGAAAATAAAACCATCCGGGTACATAAAGCTAATTTAGACCAGACTTGACTAGCTTAGGTGTTTTCTCAACTATTATCGGTAGAGCGGTGGATAAAACAACTGTTTCCGTGACCATCAGATAGTACTTCAGGATAGTACTTCAGTGCGTATCAAGACAAGTTCATGCGTATGGTTATTTCAACAGCTACTCAGTCCTCGTGGTTCCAATCCGTTTGTCATTTTAATATTATCGTCCGGTTAGATTTCCACCTATGTAATACGATATATGGTAAACCATATTTCTTCAAGTGTACCGCCAAATAGTAGGCGCCACATCAGTCTACCAAACAAACAGCATATTGAATCCCATCATATTTCATCAATTCGTTAGGGGGGTTTTATAGTCAGATAAGATTTACTAGTTATCCGAAAAGATCATTGAGCAACTACAGGTAGGTACAGAGGGGAATTGGTAATTACCTATATGTGGTCCACTCGCCCCAGTGCACTGCTCGTCATGGAGCGACAAGCCATATTCATAGTGTAGTGAGGCGGAGGACAAGAATAGCAGGAGAGACGGAAATGCTACGGAAACTAATGCTGACTTAATTGTGGCTCGCTTAACTCATTAGGTTCCTTCAGCCGGTCTTTGAGCCAGCCTTCGTCGTTCTGATAGTTCAGCGACTTTGTGCGGCTAGGGCATTGGACACGTAGTTCCTTTAAATGTCCAAGGAGCCGAGTACGAATGTGTACGGTAATCAGACAGTATAGTTCTCCGTCGCCATCCTTGACAGTGAAGTACGTCCCACATGTTCACTGATTTGTAAGAAATGGTATCCATGTCTGACTCACCGTGTTCTTCTATTATTTCCCCTCAGGTGAAACATAACAGTGTACTTTTTCAAGTTGGACTGACAAACTTCGAATCCGGAGGTATGAAATACCTGCACACCTTCATTACAACCACCTTGCCCATGGCAATGTTGTACCGATATCACAGCAGCGTTTGTCTGGCTATTTCGTACACTCGTGTGTACGAAGACGAGGTGACTCGGTATGAGAGCATGCTCCGGTGGGTCAAGCAAGGGACAACAAATGAATTCCTGCAGAACCAGTACAGAAACTTAGAGAACACCTGGGGCTCCGCATACGACATGACGCTGAAGAGCTCAAAGACGAAATGTGGTCAATCAAAGTCCGTCAGGCCACGATTTAGCTCTCATCCTATGCTGAGGATATTCACAACCCAAACGAATTGTTTGAGCCGATGGGGTCTGAGATCGAGTGATGTGGTGAAGATACACAGTTCGCAGTCGATAAAACGGCAAGAGAAACCCGTTCGGAGAGATACGCGAATAAATTTGGAACTGGCCAGAATTCGAGTTGCCGCCACTGAAATGGGGCATCGGATGTTGGAGATGAAGTTGAAACAACAACAATCGAAACAGCAGAGAAAATGTGAGGATCTGAACAATGCACACTGTGTGCGAACGGTGGCAAACGGTCAATGTGTCTTAACCGAAAAAACGCCCAAACGAATGTTCATCGTGGGTTACGACGAGGATGTTACAGAGTATGATAGTCCGTCTCTTGTTCCGTATGCGACATCCAGAGGTCAGAGTTCAACATCGTCAAATGGAGTGGGTACGGCGGAAATGTGCCTTGAAACTCAGGTCAATATTCTTAATTCTCAATCGCGGAAAAGACAGATGATCACTAACATCCCTTTGCATGCATAATCACCCCTTTTCATGTCTCACTTTGAAAAGATCTGTTACTGTCAGATGTGATACAATGTGAGAATCCGTACGCATGTGTAATTAACTTTTAATCGCCTTGTTTTTTGGCTTACCAGTGTTAGCAATGAAGATGGTGGATAATGAGTGTAGAGTAATGCGACACAATAACAATGATACGAGACAAAAATGCAGTGTATAAAGGCGAATTATAGGTAAGCGTGGTCACACTATCCAGTGACGCGCAGAAGTTAACTGGTTCGACTCCTATGTGGACCCATGTTTGTTACAGGATGTTGCGTGTGCACGGTCTTGCAGGGCAAAAGCAGTAAGAGTGGTTCGTCGATGCTTTTCACATGGCCTCTCCGGCTCTGTCTAACAAGCAGAAAGGCTGTGGATAATCGAAAATTCAAAGGTACCTCCAACTACGCCGTCTATTTTGGATGGGGCAACCAGTTGCCCATAAATATCAGCGTATGTAAAGCGTAATCATCGAGAGTAGGTTCATTGTTCGCCTGTAGAAGAATCGATCCAGTTTGCAATGGAGCAATGATAGTAAAAATGATAAGTACCATAGGATGGTTAGAGTGAAATTTACGAAATGAAAGCATAGGGTCAATAATAGAACATGAAAGTTACAGCACTCACCAGGAGGCTTGCAACAGCACAGATGTTAGTATTCCTATTTGGAGTTTAAGGGAAGTCTGATACACTCCACTGTTCGTTTTGGACTAATACCCTCTTTCGATGGGCACCTGCTATATTCCGTAGTGTAGCTGTACCAGTGTGTGGTCAAGTCGTTTTCGAATAGTGAGGGAGCGAGTTCCAGGGCTGTGACACTCGGAGGGAGAAAACGTTTGGCCGATATCCCAGTCCGCTCGGTTGCGCGGCCACTTTATACTGATGGTCCCTCAGAGATGTATAAACATGAAATCCCAACTAATAATACCAGAATGTCACTTCGTCCATTCGACTCAGTCCGCTTGGTCGGGAAGCAATTGAGCTATGAATTGCAGATTTCACTGCTTCCTGGTTTCATCTCAGAAGATCAAGTTTAAAAGCGCTGAAACCAGTTGGTACCCACACACCGCAAATGTATGATGCATAAGATATGATTATGTGTGCGGCCAATCATCTCCATGGTGAATTCGCCTTAGCGTGCTATTGCTAAATGGCTGGACTATATGCTTGAGCCAGTGAGAAGATCCCTAGTAAAACATACACCTTCGGTGTGCCGCCTATTTGGAGGGTATAAACTTGGCCCACAAGCGTATGTGTTCACACGACGTGCAGTACCTTTTCAGCAAGGTTCCGTTGAGTGAGATGTTGATCACCTATGTGAGGTTATCACAAAAAACAGCATTCAACTACACCTGCTCACAGAAGTGTTGAAAAACTTGCTCCTACTGTATACAAAAGATGTTAAGTTTTACTTTAGGGAAAAGCGTATTGACAAATCGATGATGTGGTTATGGCCAGCCAATTAGGCTTCTTTCTGGCGGATGTATTCATGATTGAAGTGAAAGTAGCCAACAGCATCAAATCAGCTGATTTATTGACGATATACTGTTAGCCATAGATTCGGATGATGGTATTGTAATTGTAAGAAATGTTTGCAATAGTGTACATCAGCATCTTGCTGTGACATGAAACTGTGTACGACAACTGGATCCCATACTTAGACATACTGCTCACACGGCAATTAGACGGTTCATTCCAAAGGTCAGTCTGCCGGACAGTGAATTGGACTGATGAATAAATACTCTTTAAGGGCTTTACTCCAATACACCATAAGCGCTTCTTATTCCGAACACTGTTTCATCGCAATGATGTGATTTGTACCACAGTTATACTGGCAGCAGAGAAAGAACTACAGTTGAAGTGCTACGAACTATCCATTATCTATTACACTTCGTAAAGCGTTTCGGTGACGCAGTGAAACGAGATCGAGTGATGACGGTCCCAGGGAAACCAGTTTTCATTGAGCTACCTTTCAAAGATGATCACCTAATGAAAGTCACCGCGGAACAAATATGCACCTCAACGAAAAAGCAAGGGAGCTACGCTTGCTTTTGTCCACACAATCACCTATTAAGTGCGCCGTGAAGACACCGGTGTCGAAGCAGTGCACGTCACAAGGCCTATGCAAATGTCCATGCAGTTGCGGAGACAGCTAGGCAGGGTGAACTGGTCAAAATATAGGTGTCCGAATCCATGAACACATCTCGAAATGCATCCGCAAGCAGATGAAACATGCGACGTTTTCACCAAGTGAATCGAGAAGCAAGGCTGTCTCAGCAATTACGAGGTATTTGATGAATATCAGTTAGCAGGCAAGCCCGGGCGAGTCATATTCACCCGTCATGAGGAGCCAAAAGCTTGATGTTCGCAAGTTCCTCGAACTCACTGCTACTGATACACAGCGTCTACCGCTCTGTGTTCAAAAACAGATGTGACACCAAGCCTGTCGTGATAGCGACTAACGCACCAATATTCAAACAGCTGATCAACAATCGATTTAGTGAGTTTACATTTTTTTGGTTATTTGCATGTACGTGGCTGACAGAAATGCACGAAATGAAACTGTCATCTCACAACATGCTTCTGGGTTTCAAAAAATAGTGGAAAGTGTGGTTGCAGTGTCTTGGAAGCCGATACACTATTAGGAGATCGTCAGTAGATGCCGATAACGTCCGCTGTAGACTACTAGACTTTTCAGCCTAAGTTGGTATATATTTATATATATTTATATATTTCCAACGGTCTACTAATAGACATAGAGCCATCAGCAACCATGGGACTCAAAGGAAGGTACAGAAATAGTAAAAGAAACCACAACAAAACACAGCAAAGTCCATGGTTTCGTCAGAGAACGAGATACTACCCGATTGCCCAAGCCGACGTAGGGTCTTGACTTAGGGAACACCTCCCTCAGCCTTTGGCAGAATAGTCTACCCGCAAGGCAGCGGAGCGAATTCAGGGCATCGCGCCCATTGGGAGCCGGTGACTGATTGTTCAGTTCATACGTCTTTCGTTTGTTCCTTTGTCAAACAGCGGCACAATGCTCCCCAGAATTACAGCATAAAGTTACTGGAATACTATGCTTCGCCAGGATGAAGCAAGGGGGAGTGACTTTATTTAGTGGCGAGTCACGTCCGCCACGTCACAGTGTTGTTAAACGGACATATATGGCTTTTAATAGGGAGAACACTTGCCAGACGATAACCCACCACGTCCTGGAACACTGCCGCCCAACCGTTTTCTGGAACGGGAAAATCCCGAACCACTCAACTGGAGGCTGTTCGGCAAGCCAACCAGTTGATAGGAAAGACTAGACAAATCATTAACGTCTCTTGTCGCCCAGCGTTGTGCAGTCTCGAACGTGGTGAAGTGGCACGCCTGACAGGGCTTCAACGCTTGGAACACGTGTGCCACATGCGTCATCACGTATACGCCAGGCATTTTCTTAAAGATTAAGGTGTCGAACTTTCTGAACGTGAGAAGTAGGAGGCCAAGGTGGTGAATTGCCCTTTTCGACGATTTTTCGGTTATCTACAAACAGCTGAGGTCATCTTGTATGAGAACTTCGAAATCGTCCCCATGGGCAGCGCGCCGTAGAGTTTGCGGTCAGAGCCGATAGTCGTAAGTGCCTTGATGGCGTATGCGCATAATTTTGTTCTTGACCGCGTTGAACTGAAACGCGTCCATGGTGGGCCATGTGTAAGCTTAATCCAGATCACTTTGCAGGGCTGTGAGATGCGCTATTTTAGATAACTATATATATATATTTCGGTCACCGGCATACATTAACAAATTTGAAGTGAGATGCTTCGAGAGATCATTTATGAAGACAAAAAGCAGACTTGGGTTGAGTTTGGAGCCTTAGTGTAGGCCGCACTGGAATCCACTAGGGTCGGACAGAGTGTACGAATCCTCAATTTCAGATGATGTTGAACGTGAAACTTTATTTGAACCAAGACGGCATTCCCGATTCTATACCTATGAAGCTTATGAAATAGAATGCGATGGTCCAGACTGTTAAATGCCTTTAGACAATCTAGATGGACGGTATCTACTCCTACACAAGCGTCAACAGATTCCATCCGGAATGCACCGTTATCAGTAGGTTCTTGGTGCATGACCGAGCGTGACAAAATCTTTGCTGTTACTCTCCAGTATCATATGAGCGTATCAGCAACAATGGACTCCGTGAGGATGGAGGTCAAACTGAAGTTATCAACCGATAATTCACTGGTTCTGTAAAGATGCCACTCCTATAGTGGAATGCTGATCCCCTAATACCACATAATAATAAGCAGCATTTCATTAAAATATTGTTAGAGGGATATAGTTAACGGTTCAGTTAAACGCATGACAGACATTTTCATCGCCTTTAGGCAAATGCCTTCCTTAAAAGGCAAGCTGTAGGCTCACTATCTACACAAGCAAAACTGTCTGTCTCTTTCAGCCTTCACCGGAGGTGCAATCTTCAATATTGCCGCGAATCAGCATTGGTGTTGAAGTATTGGAAACCACCTCCCGCTTTTGCTACCTTGGGAGTGTGATGTCGACTGATCAGCAGCTACACGTTGAGTTGCGTAATCGCGTGTCGAAGGCAGCAGCGGCATTCGGGAAGCTTGAGTACTGAGTGTGGAACAACCATCAGCTTAGCATTGGCACAAAGATGATGATGTACAAATCCATGGTACTGTCCGTTCTTCTATACGGCAGTGAAACGTGGACGATGTACCCTCGGGATGTGCGATATCTCGAGCGGTTCCATCAGCAGTGTCTGCGACGAATTTTGCGCATTGGTTGGGGCGCCAGAGTTGCAGACACGGAAGTTTTGCGCCGAAGTGGGATGTATGCAGTGGACTGCATACTTTTACTGCGACACCTGACTCTCACGGTCATGTGTGGCGCATGGATTCGGCGCGGATACCGAAACAACTCTTATACGGCCAGCTGAGTATTGGGAAGCGTCACGTGGGGAAACCAAAGTTACGTTACCAGGACATGATTAAAGTGAGCCTCACACGTTCTAATCTTGATTGCAGGTCATGGGAATCGAAAGCGGTTGATCGGCATG